CAAAATACTGCACAATATATAAGTTTTACAGTAGTTTTGTATTTATATATAGATATAAATCGTTTGTTTAATTTTGTGGTGAAAACGAGGCAAAAATTAAGGAACTTTTGGTGTGATATTTATAAACATAAAGAGCGCCCAAACTATAAGTCGCCTGTTTTATGTACTATTAAACAATATTGTATGGTATTGTATGGCACTGTAATGGCACTGTAATAGCACTGTAATCGCATCAACAACATAAACACATACCGCGAGGTCCTCGGCCTAAGACTAAATTTAGCCATCACTCCACTATATCATACTATATACTGTTTGTCCCGACTTTCACTTACTCTATACACTACAGTATACACTATACCCTATTCAACATACACTACATGTTTATAAAGTATATATATTGTAATATTCAGTTCTAATGAATACTGAATACATGGGATGCGTTTAGAGCACTGCTCTCTTCAAAGATGCAATATATTGTACAATACTATTCATTTCAATTTAAATAATACAAGACTTGACTATGAATGAAGAGGTGGAGTGCGATCCGGGATGGGATGCAATGGTAATACCAGTGCATTACAGTATCATAAGATGAGTAGCGATGTATGGGATATATGGGATGAATGCATGAAAGACAGGACTTGAGCTGCCAGGAAGTGAAACGCGCTCTCACTCTCACATTTCTATCTCATATATTTCCTAATAATTTCCATTATTTATAATTATATTATTAAACAAGTGATTCATCACGTCATCTGATAATCATTTTTGATTTGTTGATTAATTACTTTTTAATTACTTATTTTAAATGTGTTATTAAATTATTATTAATTAAAAGTTTAGGAAAACATTGGATTTTTGATTTTATTATACAATTTAACTTCTGATAATCATTTTTGATTTGTTGATTAATTACTTTTTAATTACTTATTTTAAATGTGTTATTAAATTATTATTAATTAAAAGTTTAGGAAAACATTGGATTTTTGATTTTATTATACAATTTAACTGGTTTAGATTAAATGAAACACTTTATTCTTTGTTTTAATATTTGTGAAATAATTGAAGAATAACTAATAATGTAATCATAAATGTGATATCATTGATACGGATGTAAAGGTGTTTTACATGTAGTGGTGTTTTACTTCATGTTTGGTTTCAAACTCGACCCGTGTTTGAAACCGACCTCCGATCTGAACAGTGGCCACATTTTCTACAAAAGGTAAACTAATGTAACAATAATTGACAACTTATTTAATATCTAAAGATTAAATGTTTTATTAGGATCTATATTAACACGTAATACTTGTGCCACAAATAAACAAGTGATCGGTCAGAAGGAAGTGCACAACCAATTGGCTTACAGTTCAATCAATCGTATAATAATGTTGGATGTCTTTCGGAGCTTAAAAACATTGCTTAAGACAAGTCGCGTTCAAATTGATAACAATGTGTTTCGATTGCATTACTCAATAACTGTTATTTTATTGCTGGCCTTTTGTGTTATTATTACAACTAAGCAATACGTCGGCGATCCTATCGATTGTGTCCGAAGTGAAGCCATTCCTCAAAGTGTGATCAATACTTATTGTTGGTATGATTTAATCAACACAGTACACAACAATTATAGATTTTACATGTGTGTTAATCCTAACCAATTCTACCTTGCTATTAGTTTAAAATTTACAATCTTTAGCCTATTGTTAACAATTGTGTTACTAACCCATTATTTTTGTAAATGCATACCATATAGGATTTATAACATTGTACTGTACTGTACTGTACATGTTATAATAATTGTGATTAAATGATGTATCATAACAAATACCGATAATATCAACATTTATTGCTCTATTATTCTAAATGAAGAACATACAGTTAATACAATTGAGGCACTTATGATTGCAATGTTTGAATAATTTGTAGGATTCATACGACATATACTGTGCCGAGAAGTTTTCACAAAGAAGTTGGCGTCGATGTTGTGGCTCCCGGTGTAGACATGGAGTCCAATCAGAAAGAGTTTCGATATCACAAATACTATCAATGGGTTTGCTTTGTGCTGTTCTTTCAATCGACATTGTTTTACATTCCGCGATGGCTGTGGAAGATGTGGGAAGGTGGCAAGATTCAGGCACTTATGATGGACTTGGATGTCGGCGTCTGCAGTGATCAGGAAAAGAAACAGAAAAAGAAACTTCTGGTCGATTACCTGTACAACAGTCGGGGTCATCACGACTGGTATGCGGCGCGCTATCTGTTTTGCGAAGTACTCGCTTTGGCTAATGTGATCGCACAGATGTATATGTTGGACAAGTTCTTCGATGGAGAGTTTCTCACCTATGGATTACAAGTCATTCAATTCGCACAACAAGACCAGGGTTTGTC